CTGCAGCCTACGCCGTCTCTGGCGAATCACGGCAGCCCAGCTCCAGGTTGAGCTGTTGTTCAGCATCTTAGCTGTGGAGGGCAGTGTCACTGGCCCTCGTATGTGGGATCCGAACTGGGGCCCTCTGGCGTCCCAAGCCAGTTCTTAACCATCGCGCCACTCGGCCGGCCCTACAGTATATTTTTACCTGAGGAACTTCAGAAGTAGAGCTGGTTTTCTGAATGTTGACAAAAATTTCTTTGGTGGAGGGTAAGTCAGGAGTTTGTAAGCATTTATATATAGTTCATGTTTGATTGTTTCTAAATTTGCCTAGATTTATATCACATGGAAGCACTTGCCAGCTAGGACATTTCCTTATTCCTGTGCTTAAGCATAAGGAAATCTTGTTGAATCATAAGTGATAGCACTAGCTAAAATCTTTAGATTGTTTTCCATGTGCCAGCGCCTGTGCTAAGCGTTTTATAAGAGTGGCTTAGAACAGTTAACAGGCTAGCTAATAGTCATGCATCTGTTAAGTCACATGTGATGGGATTCAGGCCACTGGCACCCAGCTTTTGTTTTCTAGAGTTATTTGGAACTGGGACTGAAATCTGAAACAGTCTTGACATTGGATTATATAGACAGCCATCCACTCGAGAGACTCCTTGCTCTGCTAGAGGTCCCAGGGGGTCAGCAGTCCGGACAACTGTTAGGGAAATTGTATCATTTGGTTTACTATTTTTAAAACATACAGGAAAATTATAACACTAAATACATGCAGCTGAAAAAGAGGAAAAGTCTCAAATCAATAAACTCCTACCTCAAGAAATTAGAAAAAAAAAGTGAAAAATAAACCCCAAACAAGCAGAAAGAAAGAACTAATAAAGAGTAGCAATCAATGACATTGAAAAAAAGGAAAACAGTAGAGAAAAGCAAAGAAAAAAACTGGCTCTTTGAAAAGATCAATAAAACTGATAAACCTCTAGTGCGGGAGACCAGCTCCTGCAGGTCCAGGGGTTCTGCAGGTCCAGGGGTTCCCTCAGGTAGAGGCGGCGTTGGCGAGGAAAAAGGAAAAAACACGCAGAGACACAGGAGCGCTTTCTCAAGAAGAAGTGTCACACTTTATTTTACAGCATGCCCCTTTTTATAGCGGGCAGTTTAACCGTTGTTCTATTAGTATCAGGGTTTTACTTCCTCATAATTCTTATGCTCCAGGGTACAACTATACCTTTTCTATGCTAAAAACTAACTTATCCCAACTATGCCCAAATCCCTCCACCTACAAAGACTGTGACCAAGGCCTGAGCCTTTACATAATCGCCTAAAGGATGGTTACCATGACTACCCAACATTTAAAAACTATTGTCTAAGCAGGATCTTAAGATTTACAGGGTGTGTACTTTGACCTTTACTAAGAGACTAGTAGTGTGACTAAAATTGCCTTTAGTGTATGAAATAGAATTATTGTTATATATCTATTAGAAGGGGAATTTAAATTCTTTAAGATATAAAGCAGTATCTGTTTCTCAGTCAGAGCTTCAGAATTTGTCACAATTGCAGTGTGCTTGGCCATGGCAGACACTGAGGCGCAGCCGGCTCCCGGCACTCTAGCAAGGCTGACAAAAAAAAATGAGGGCAATCACAGATTACTATTGGGTTGTCGAAAAAGTCATGACGCATTTTTGCAACGAAAAACATAGAAAAAAAATGTCATGACTTTTCGGACAACCCAATAGTATAAGGAATTAAACAGAGAATATCACCACAGACCCTGCAGATATCAAAAGGATAGTAAAGGACTAGTATGAACAACTATATAAACACAGATTAGATAATTTGGATGAAATGAACCAAACCCTCAAAAAGCACAAACTTCCACAACCCACCAGTATGAAACATAATTTGATTAGTTCTGTAACTATTATGGAAGTTAAATTCATAATTTAAAACCTCCTGAAAAAGAAATCTGTGGGCCCGTATGATTTCCCTGGAGAATTCTCTAAAGTTTTAAATAATAATACCAATTCCAGAAATATGGAAGAAAAAGGAATACCAACTCATTCTATGAAGCAGTATTACCCTGATACTCAAACCCGACAAATGCAATGCATAAATAGAAATCTCCACACCAATCTCATAACTATAGATACAAGAACTCAACATGTAAAATTCATTAATATATAAAAAAGTCTATTAAAGACATACAAGTAGGGTTCATTCCAGAATTGCAAGGCTGGTTCAGTATTTGAAAATCAATGTATTCCATCATTTGGAATCCTTTCTTCTCAAAAGCAGTGCCTTCCTGTAGAGGAGGGAAGGGTTGGGGTTGGGGATGGGGGACTGCCGGTCATCAAGCACCTAAATGTGAAAGCACCTAGGTGTGCAGCCTGCGGTGCTGCTCTTTGTAGAAATGCCTACCATTGCTGAAAAGGGCCTTCATAAGACCAGATGGCTTGTTAAGATGCTGGAACTTTTCCGGTGTTTTTCCCCCCTCCCGCTGGGGAGGTTCTCTTCTAGACTTGATTCCAAGTGCTATCCATCATTTAGGACTCACCTTAACAAGATACTGTTGAGAAAAGACAAAGAAGACACTTAGACAAGAACTCGCCTAGCCAGTGGTTAACAGCGGAGTACATCAGAGCTACTGAAATCAGCAGAACGTTTTTGCTTTTTATAAACAATTCCCCTGGATTTGTGGCAGTCCTGGGGGGTGGGGGGAGGAAGTCAAGCAAATTTCGAGTGACAGTTTGTTCTGGGCAGCACACTTGTTTCACCGAGGCTCAGTGATGGCGCTGCATGTTTCAACGTCCATGAGGCTTGTTTGTCTCATGTCACATCACGCTAACAGTTTCTCCCTGAGACTCGCAGCCAAAAGACTTTGTTACAAATTAACCTCCAGGTCTGGCTCATCTCACTTGATTGGGAAACAACGGCATTGTTGATGTACGGTCGTTGCCCCGCACAGTGGACGCTGCACTGGCCCCTGTGGACCCTCCTTTGACAGCCACCCCGCGGTGTCCTCCCTGTTACCCGGGTCACCCTCCGCACCCCACCGTCCCGTCTTCTGCGCAGGCGCAAGGGAAGCCCGCCTCCCCCCGCCCTCCACACATTCCAATAGCTGTGATCGCCGAGAGGGAGCGCCCTGGGCGCGTCGGCCGAGGGCGCCACTTGAATGACACGGATTCTGGCCAATCACCGGAGGCCGTGCGCTGGCCGTCCTCCTCAGTGGCGCCGGCTGCCCAGCCCCAGGCGCGGGGCCGAGACGCGGGGAATGTCCCAGGCCTGGCTCGTTGAGACGCTCGCTGTGCTTCTCCTGGTTCGGCTGGTGTCTGCAGGGCCTGAGGCTCGCCGCGTTTCGAAATGGCCGAGCAGTCGGATAAGACAGTCAAGTACTACACCCTGGAAGAGATACAGAAGCACAACCACAGCAAGAGCACCTGGCTGATCCTGCACCACAAGGTGTACGATTTGACTAAATTTTTGGAGGAGGTGAGTTAGTGCGGCGCGACGCCAGCCCGGGTGTGGAGGCTCCCTGCGGCCACCTGTCGTTCTCTGCGCAGCAGGGATGGCGTGCCTGGCTCTCTGTGAGCCCCTGACTCTGCTCACCCAGCTCTGCACACCTGGGAGCGGTCCCGAGTCCGCGTCTCTCTCTCTGCACACCTGTCTTTCACATCCGGGATCCGTCCCCGCTTCTGCGCCCCCAGAGCCTAAGCTCCCGTGCGTGCACCCCTGGGGGCGCTTCTCGAGCCTGCGCCTTCGGAGACTGCACACCTGTGCGCGCCCACCTGGGATCCACCCGAGGCGCCTAGGCCGGCTGAGCCCTTGTAGGGCCGGCGCGGCCCTCGGAGCAGCTGCGGGAGCGCGTGGGAGAGCACCACCCACCCAGCACTTAGTGGGAAGCAAAGTCGTGCTGGAACTGCGTTCTTAGCAGAGGCCACAGCAACACGGAAGGAGTTTGAAAGATCCTTTTATCCTTGAGTTTTCATAGATGGGGTGCCATCTGGGACCGGGGTCGTCCCACTTCTGTTATTAGGAGTGGATTCCTAATAGGAGCATTTTGGAGACTACCCACTTCGTGAACTGTGGGATCCCACGAGAGGGGACCCTGAGTTGGTTCCTAGGTCGGAGTGTGTGGGCCGCATCCGCTTCCTCCCAGCACGTATAGGCCCACTCCCCCATCCAGGCCTACACCCACCCGCTTTCACCTAGATGGTGCTCGGTAATTGTTAACGCAGCGCCCGAGGACTTTGCAACGAGGTGCAGTGCCGGGCTCCTGGGACCGCGGGTCTGGGCGTGTGGCTGGCTCTGATGAAGATGGAAGGGAGAGAGAGGGACAGAGTTGTAAAAACACTAACCGTTGGAACTGGTCCTTCCTTAAGCAACTTTGGAAGTTGTCAAATAACTTTGCTTAACTTAAAGGAAAACATTCCTTTGATAAGATTCTTTGCTGTCGGTTAGAATTTTTGCAGTAAATGCTAAGGGGCTTTTCTTTGCTTCCTCTGGATGTGTTTTGTTCCTGTGTGTGTGGGGGGGGGTCTGAGTCACAAAGCTTAATTAACACTTACCTTCCTTCATCCCCCCAGACAATGGGGGAGAATGTTTCCTGATGGGAATTCTTTGCATAGTTTGAGGGGATAGCTAAGACAGAGGCCTGGTCTTAGCAGAATCAGTCTACATCCAGGGACTTCTGTTTTGCACAGAATTTTTAAAAAATTGTTTTGAAAAAGGTTGGAGTTGAAGTTTTTTTGTAAGATACTTTACTATGCACTTGCCATTCTGTGGTATGCGGGAATATAAAATAGGGTCCCAGTTTTGTTAGGGGTGATTTCTGGTTGGGAATCAATCTGAACTGCCCTGTCCCTACTGCTGAACTAGAGTTGATTTGCTGTTAAGAGTTTTTTGAACTAACAACCCTGCATATAACATCAGGTGTCGTCGACACCAAATGTCTACTTGCAACGGTTGCCCACCCCCGTGGTATGAGTAATTCTGAATTTTTAACATCCAGTGTAGCTTTACCTGTGTCTTTTACAAAAATAGTGTTTATATATAATAGGCTACTTTATATTATGAAGCATTTGTCCTTTTTTTTCCCTTTTTTTGTGGATTCTGTCCCATCTATTGTGTTGTACAGGAGGACTCCCAGGCCTCTGCCATCAGATGTTAGGAGTACCCCCTCCCCGACTCATGACAACCAAAAATGTCTCCAGTTATTGCCAAATGTTCCCTTGGGGACAAAAATCATTCCTAGTCTGGAATCCCTGCCCTAAAATATGTTTTGCATAACTTTTAAGGGTACATTTCTCAGAAGGAGACAGAGAAGATTATTAAACTTGACTATAAACATTTACATTTCAATTTCATTTTTATGAGACAGGAAAGGAGGAATTGCTCAGTTTTCTGAGAAACTGGAAGAGATGCCAGTAAGCCAGTGGGTAAATTAGCTGACGAGAGAGTCCTTTATTCCTTCTTACTCAGTTTTCAGCACTCTGTCTTTGAAAGTAACTTGGGAGAACGCCTCTTAAGTAAAATGCATTGAAATGAGTTTACCACACTATGTGATAACTAATACTTACAGTGAGATAACAAGAAACTGTTGTTTATAGTGAGATCAATAAAAACCAGCTTACAGTGGTTCCTAGACTTTTCTCAGTTGGTACTTGGCACAGTGCTCCCTTAGTGGCCTCCGGGGGACTTGAGTCTTCATGCCCTTCCTTCTGATCAGTGGAGGCTGAGCTCTTGTAGACTCCATTCAATTTAGGAAACCAGAGCCCGGGAGGAAGCTTCCATGGAATAACAGAAAACAATGCTGTGGGCAGGAATGGTGACGCAGAAAACTGTTCGGCCGTCAGGAGTGGCCCAGAGGGTGGTGGGAGAGCCCGGCGTGGGCTCCAGTAAATAGGGCCTCAAGTCGGCGTGGCCAGGAGGGGAAGGAGGAGACCGCTCACAAGGCCGGAGTGGATTAAGGTAGAAGTGGAAGGTGGCCGACGCCATGGAAGTGGACCCGCTGGAAGGAGGGGGGCACGCAGTGAGGAGGAGGCCTGCCAGCCTGTTCTAGCTGGTCGAGGACGGTGCCAGCTTTCCCAGAACATCCCGATTCTCCTTTTTCAGGACGTTTTCCATTTGCCGCCTTTGCTGTTTGTTTTCACTTTCTGTGACCATCTCTGCTTAAGGCGGTGGGCTTCCCGCCCCCAGCATGGCCATCCTGGGACCCCTGCCCCTGGCTTCCTGCGAATTAAACTTCAACACACCTTTTTCAGAGATGTGCAGGATGTCCTGCCAGGTGTTCTACTTCTCCCCACGTCCTGCTGTTCCATTGCTTTATGAGGCCAGTGCTGTGTATCCTGTCCCTATTTTTGAAACAGAGAAAGGAGTCCAGAGGATCTGTTTCTCTCACCCGCTTTCCCTGCCCTCTGTCTTCCGTCATTTAAAAGCCCCAGAAATTCATGAAGCCTTTGCATGTTAACTAAGGAATATTCTGTTTTCCCTAATTTACCTAAATATGAAAGTTTTTTTTTTTGGGGGGGGTATGGCTTCCTACCTCTAAAGTGAATTTTTAATCATGGACTAGCTGTCCTTATGCTGTGAGTTTACCCATCCATATGGCAACACAATTTTTTATGGCTTCTTGCAGAATAGCAAAGATTTATATGCACGTTTGCATTCATGTTGAGAAACTATCAGGGTCCTGGTCCGCTGCCAACACAATGCCTCAGATGCTTGATTTAAAGTAAAATGGGAATATGATAATAGTTCTTCGTGGGGCTATTATAAGAATTAAACAAAATGATGCTGGTTAAACATATAACACGGTGCACATGGTCCATGCAGTAAGGGCAAAATCCTGTACAGCACGGGTCAGCTTAGGGTGGGACTTCCTTTCTGTAGTATCGTATGTAGCTGAGTGCAGATATGAGATTGTAGGTCAAGCTGTAAATCCAGCCGGTGATGTTGAAAGGGGAGACTATTACAAAAGTCGTATCCTCCCAGTGAAGAGCCCGGGTGAAGTTTCTAAGTGGTGCAATGGACTTGGACATAATGGCCTTCTGAAGCTGTTTGACTGTTCACAAGGGCGGCAGACAACTGAGAGCAGCACCTGGCAAGCTAAGAAGCGGCAGGTGTTGGGTTACTACCTGATACCAGCTTGCAAGGATATGAGCTTAGTTGCCTACATATCTTGAACGAGCCTTTTCCTTTTTCAGTCCTGCATTCTAGATTTTGAATTTATATGTGTGAAGCTGGGTCTTGTCATATCTGTTTGCATTATTAGCAGGGTTCACGATGATAGAACTTTGAGGGACAGTTATCTGAAATGAAAAAGTAGGCATTTGGGGCCAGGAAAAGAAATGGTTTGCTTTTCTCTTTCTGAGATTTGGGCAGCAGCATTTATTCCGCTTTGAAAAGAGCTGTGGAGGGAGAGAAGAAAGTATCGCGTTATTGATGACAGTTGCATTAACTTGCTTTCAAGTCAGTAGATGTTTAATTTGTGAAGTAGGTATCTTCCCGGAGAATGTTACGAGCAGAATGCCTTTGAGTTGAGTTGCCCCCTCCTTTACATGAGCCGAATGGGCACATGTCTCTAGAGACCGTTTTCTGGTGAGCCTGGGTTATGGTGCTCTGCGCCTGTGTCATAGATGTGCTTTAGCACCATTCTGCCTCACGGAGCTGGTGGTTCCTGACTCACTTTTGCATTTGAAGTCTTAGGCAGTGTGCTTTATAGCAGCTTTTGTGGCAGGGACTTACTTTGTGTTATTTTCCATTGAACGTGGCTGCCTGCTTTGCAGAGACCAGGGGCTCCTTGGTGCCCCTGGGATCTGGAAATAGAGAGTATGGGTGCTTGAAACTCAGCGTCCTTAATTCTGGAAAACACAGAAGACTGTGTATCTTTACCCTTGATAAGGCTGCCATATTTAGGGCTAAAGTCCTCAATGCCCTTGCTTTTTTCAAGGAAGTTTGATTATATTCTGAATTTCATACTACTACACAAAAAGCTGTAGTTGCAAATATGTATTGGATGAATGTAATAAAATGGGAACATAATTATTATTTAACATATGCTGTTTGGTAAATAAAACTAGAAATTATGAAAGCCAGAGGAGGAAAATATAAAGGGCTCCTTGGTAGTAAAAGTGGCTCAGCCATCATGGGTAATCAAGGCCCCTTGGGAGCCTGCAGGCGGGCTGTGGGCAGGACCCCTTTTGTATATTACCGCATAATTGTTTCTGGTAACTTTTTGATACTTTTGAGAAAGAGGTGTTAAGAGTGCTTGTGAGGCTACTTTGTTGATTTTTATTTTTTACTGTTTCAAAACAAATACTCTAGATTGTTAACGTTCACTTTTTATTTATCTTAAAGGTAGATGGAAATCCTAAATAAGGGAGTGAGGACAGATTATGCAGGCCAGCTTGGGTAAATCAAGGAATAAATGATGCTCATTTCTACCTAATTCAGGTATCTGTTATTCTAAAGTTCTCCAGAACCACAGAAGA